GAGTCTCTAGTCCAACCTCCTGCTCAAAGCAGGGTGGGCAGTGAGGCTGGACCAGGTTACCGCTGTTGAAGACGCTCTTTTGGGCAGCTCTAGTAAAGCAGTTCTCCTTTATGTCAAAGGTGTTTGTCATGGGGAGCTGTGAAGACCTGTAAGGCCTACCGATTGCATCATTTCTTCACTTGTCTTTGAATTCACTCTTGCTGCTGCCAGACTTGCTACTACTTGATTTAGCTTCACTATCTAAAAGCTGTGCTTCCACCATGCAAACTTCTACTGCCTTCACTCTGACTGTATGTCGTGGTTTAACCTCAGTGGGCAACTGAGCACCACACAGCCGCTCACTCACTCCCCCCCACCCGGTGGGATGGGGGAGAGAATCGGAAAAGCACAAGTGAGAAAAACTCGTGGGTTGAGATAAAAACAGTTTAATAATTGAAATAAAATGATAATAATAATATGATAATAATAATAATACACAAAGCAAGTGATGCACAGTGCAATTGCTCACCACCCACCGACCGATGCCCAGCCAGTCCCTGAGAGGCGGCCCCCCCCGGCCAGCTTCCCCCCGTTTATGTACTGAGCATGATGTCACATGGTATGGAATGTTTCTTTGGCCAGTTTGGCTGTGCCCCCTCCCAGCTTCTTGTGCACCTCCAGCCTTCTCAGTCGGTAGAGCATGGGAAACTAAAAAGTCCTTGGCTAGTGTAAGCATTACCTAGCAACAACTAAAACATCAGTGCCTTATCAACTTTGTTCTCATCCTAAATCCAAAACACAGCACTGTACCAGCTACTAGGAAAGAAATAAACTATTCCTGCCGAAACCAGGACAATATATGTGATAGTAACTACAGCCCTCAGCCAAACGAATCTGCAGGATCAGACCCAGTATTAAAACCACAAATTTTCCTGAAAAGCCTTTGTTCAATAGAAATTGTTTGAGGAAAAAGATCTGAAACTCTCATTCTTACATGCACTCTCTCACTTTTGTTCACATGAATGAACTTTTGCAGGCAGAATCCTTGCATTTAGGTAGATGCATGGGTGTAAAAGATTAAGTATTCTTTTCATCCTAAATCTGTTATGATAAGAGAGGATGTGTGCAGAAAGAGTGCACACAGCAGAGCTCTTGCCCTTGCTGCAAGCTAGCAAGCTCAAATCTTACCATCCTTTGGAATAACCTATCCACAGCAGGCTGCAGGACAGCTGTCCAAGCTGAGCCCGAGATCAAATTCAAATTTTAGAAGAAAGATTACAGATAGTCTCTTTCAATAACAATCCTAAAGAAAATCAATGTAGAATTCTAACTTTCCTTTGAGATTTTTTATTTGCTTTCATCCTAGCCAGTTTGCACTCAGAATTGGTTTTCCTGACAGTCATTTCTTACAGCAAAACCTAATGTTATGTTTTGTATTTAACAGCTCTAGTTCTTCAGAGCTTGGCTAACCCCATCACTTGGAGGATCTGCTGTTTTTCTGTAAAATCATGTTATGTTTCTGAACTCCAAAAGTCTGCCATACAGGCTGGAGGCCTTCATTTGGACCTAATGTCTCAGCTCAAAAAGGTTTTTAGACACATTAATCACAATCTTAGTGTGAGATTGGTATTTAACAGCCTTGCTAAATTGGGGAAAGATCTTTTGTCTTCAGTAGGGTTGAGATGTCACCCTGAGAATAAACCTGTACGTAGGCTACTGTAAATCATATTGCACCTTCAGTCCCCCCTCAACTTGGGAGGCAGGTGCTTACAACCGCTTCACTGGAGCTGACTGAATGCAGAGAGGCAGTCCAGCTGGACTGCAAATAATACTATGAAAGCAGGGGAAAAGGGGCTATTTGCCTTAAAAATCAGGAGCTTAACTGCCTGTTTTCTGATCTAAGGATGCGGTCATCAGCTTAAAGTGAGGAAAGAGCTTCAAAACAGCAGGGCCAGTGGGCAAAAGAAAGCATTTTCTGCTGATCCACTTAATGCGGAATGAGTTGGCCTTGAAGCTTTTAGAACAAGCAAATAAGTGGATAACTCAGTCACTGAATTAGTAAAATAGCTGCACCATTCTGGCAACGTTGTAGGTTACATCAATAAAGTACTTTTGTCTCTACCTCACAAAAATCAGATAGTGATCCGTCACATTATTACAATGTTAAAGCTATAAAAGAAAGAGTGAAACCAATATTATACCTATATAGCTCAATAAAAAAGTCCACAAAGGCTATTTTCTGTAATGAGATATTATACATCATCTAGGCACAGTGGGCAAAAACCATAACAAATGTGGTTAAATAAAGCAAACCTTCGCTACAAGGTGCCTATGGTGATATTCAAAATATGACTTTGGTGCCTGATGTGCAATTTAGGTGCACTGATCCACTAAAGTAACACAAAAAATCCTGCCTACCCTCTTAGCATCTATCTATGTGATAGACCGACCGCACACATGTAAGTTGTGCCTACACAGATCTCCAGCAGCATGCAAACAAGATCTGAAGTACATTTGAAGATATAACATGGCAAGTGAAGCTATATTATCTGGAGGTGAGACAGAGTTATCTCAGTGTGACGACTTTTATGGCATTGTTGATTCATGCCATGCTGGATCACAGCACAAGCTCACCTATGCCAGAGATCCACTGGTCAGCTATTCTGCAGACACGTGTATTCTGGCAAAAATGTTTATTCAGGTGCCTGCAGTTCTCCTACTAAATCTATTTAGACATGGTCCTGCTGGGCAGAGAGTATAGGACCACTTTCATTCATTCATTGCTTTTTATTCTACAGATTAGGGTTTTGCCGCATCTAATTCACGGATGCCAAAATCCTCTGTTAGGTTTGGCTCTTCAGGACTTTCTGCACTCAGGTCTGGAGTTGTAAATTGTTAAGTTGCCATCTGTAATGATGCAAGGACTGCAAAAACTCCTCTGCAAGGAATGCTTTTCCTTTAATTAAAGGTGCTTCTTTAAATGCTATACATAGTCAAATCCCAAACTGCCAGTCAGAAGTAAGTGTGACCAGATTACATTATTCATTGCGGTATGCCCATTAGAAAGTCATGCGATGATAATCAGGTGGTAATGTGGTACATTAGGCTCGGTATTGTGGCCAGAAGAGGCTCACATGGTAATTGCAATCTAGCATGATGTTACGGTTGGTGATAGGGGTTTAGAAAATCCCCAGGGAAAGTGTTGTTTTCACAAAGTGTACTGAGATTCTGCTGTGAAATAATTAGAAAAGCATGACTGACATTTCATTTTATATCCTCTCTTACTTATGTATGGTTTTCTGAAGAAACTACAGTGGCATTATTTAGTATGCCTTTCTTGCTGAAATTAGCCAACTGGATCCTTGTCTTGAAAAGATCGATTCCCC